GAATTCAAATGTACGTATCAGTAGTAGTTTTCTATCCTTGCTTGATACACTATAATAGTTATTATTTCTGCATTAGCATCTGCTTTTCATGATAATGTTGTATTTTATTTTGTATGTGTATTTTGTCTTACAAGCGGGCTGTACACACTGCTCAAGTGCCCCTGCTTTATCCTGTTCCTGCTTTCTGGCAGGAGTATGGGTTATTATTATTAATTGTTTTGTGTCAAACATGGCATTGTTAATATGCACTTTGCATTTATATGTGTCTGTTCAATTATTGTTTGTTAACTCTGTATGAGGCTGAATGTTTGAACGTTTGGAGTGAAAATGCTGATTCTGTTCACCTTTTTTCTGGCTTAATTTCTTAGCGTTTGTAGATGGCCCTGTCTCTGTCTCCACCGTTGTCTTTATTTCTTCATAAAACTGCACTTTTGTACTCAATCACAAGATTCATTCCTGATTATAGACACGGCATGCCAACAATTACTCCATCAGTCAGTGTTCAGTGTCCCATTTCACTAGTTCAAATATACAAATGCAATCAAAATATAGAGAAACTAAATGCAAAGTATGTAATAAAATAAATAAAGGCAAATATAAGGGCAGATTGTCCGTGGTCAATTAAGTTTTTCCATGAAATTAGCAACTGCAAAGATGTGAAATAAAGTTGAAACACACTAACAGGACTCTTTCTTTTCTTTATTCTACAAATGTAATGCACATGCAAGTTCGAGGAGTTGACGAGAAGACGCTGGATAGAAAATATGTTAATAATGTCACTGATTAAACCCACTGCCTACACTGAAAAAGAGAATCACATTTCTGGGTGTTTTTGAAAGTTTTGATTTTGTTTGGTTTAATAATTAACATTACCTTTGCGAGTATGACTCTCACTCGGCTTGTGAATTAGCAGAACTTGAACAGAGACATTATACAACGCTCAACATGGATAATGTTTAATGTGGCTTATTAGACCAAGACAGTGATACAGTCAAAATTGTAAAGCATACTACTATGTGCAAATCATAGACTGGTGCAAATACGCATATGAACCCAAAATGTGAACGAAACGTGTTTATTTACACGTTAAGCGTTTACTTTTATATAAAGAAAATGCTTAATGCACTGAGACAGCGATATTAAAATACCACATTCTGTACACACTTTACTAATCAAATTTGTGTTATACATTTTCATTTTCATTTCGCAACTTACAAAGCGTTCAAATTTGCATGCAATTTACATATTAAGACTACTGTTGGAAATGGCAAATGTAAATTATATAATTTAATTTTCATTTTACTTTTGCACCAAACTTTGCACATATGGGTAATGGAAAATTTAAATTTAAATACAGAAATACAATGCCATTTTGAATATTGCATT